CTGACAATGTCCTTCGCACTTGGGGCGGGAATGGATTTTTTCACATTGTTCTCCCTCTCCTTTTTCAATCTTTCCAATTTGGCCGCATTTGACAACAACGCTAGAGTTTTGAAAAGGCTGTATAATTGGAGTCTTCTACCTTTTAGCGTTTTCAGAATTAATCTACACCATTAAAATTTTATACAAAACGCTAACGCTAATTGAAAATGTTGTTCCCAAACAAATCCTTTGGCTTTCAGGGTAAACTTTCTTAAACATTAACCACAAATTATGGAAAAATATATTGAATTGTGATATAAATTAAATATTGGTAAGTTAGTTTTGAAATATTACATTTTTATACGAGTAATAAATATCTATATATATTGATGGTCATAATGTTGCATTAAAAACTGTGAAAAATCAAATGAAAAGCTTCAAAAGAGATGGAGTGAGTACCAATCATGGGCAATGGGGATGACTTCTCTGTAATTATTTGTGTAGTGTCTGTTTATTTGTGTGTGTGTGTGTATAGGTACGGGTATGGGCTGTCAAACAACAATGCAGGATTGCTAATGCTACTAAACAAAGGGCCGTGCGTGGGCCAGTGGAGATGTCTTTCAAGCACTCAACTCTGAAATGTCTTATTCATCAGCGTTGTTTATTTGTGGACCCTCCTATTGTGGGATCCCAACTGTTGTTGTTGTATTTCGGGTGACTTACTTCTTGGCATGGTTGAGGCAGTGCTGCTTTCATTTTCTCTCCCCATCCAAACAAACTATTATGCGTGTGGGCGGGCTTTTATAGAAAAGGGCTTACTCCCATGTCGAGAAGAGTAGACTCTTTCCTTTGTCCATAACATTTGTGCATGTTTTTTCTGTACGCCCCATATTGAATTGAGGATGAATCAAATGTTATTAGGTAAATAATTAATGATAATAATGTCATTTCATCCCTCAATCATTGTTTTGAACGAAACATGTTATAGAAGCACTGCGTAAAATGCCATGGGATTTAAATTTTGCATACTCCGGCTATCTCAAAAAATTGCCGAGTTTGAAAGGCAGTATGCAAAATTGAGAAATGCAGTACAGACCACATTATCTTTTATAAAAATGAAATAAGGAAAACATGTATTATATTTGATTCATGGATTCAAAAAAAAAAGAGGAAAAGATATATCTTTAACATTTTCCTCGCCAAAACAAAAGATAAGTTTTTCGTTCACTTTATATTCTCCTCTCAACTAGGTTGCTATTTCTCCTCTCAATTTCTTTTCCTTTTCCATTCAGTTTCCTTTCTCTTTTTTCGCTCCAACCTAACAAAATTAATTATTTTCATATCTTTTTCTTTTATTTTCCCTTTCGATTAATTTCCTTGAACCGTGATAAAAAAAAGATAACATGCATTTTATATTGAGACAATGAAAGCAACAAATTACTAGTTGACCAGCCTCTAAGGTAACCAGACACTTTACCTTGTTCTAAAACCATAATAACTCCAACCAAACCTGGACTACTACAAGGAGGTGGGAAACGAAGGATGTGATGAGAAACTCTCCGTCGTAATAAGTTAATGGGTTGATGTTTTTTTGAGTTCTCAATTAAGCTCTTCAGATCATACATACACTGCAGTTTAAATTGAACCTTTACAGAGAATTGAGTTTGATGTTCCACAAAGGGGGCACGTGGCCGTTAGAAGGCGTTGCAAATAAATGCCATAGAGTGGCTGAAGAGAACTTGAGTGATTTCAAAATGCATTCGCTCCACATTTGCATAGTAGCAGTTGATGCTGATGATGACTTATATAGGTGAAAGCAAAGCTGTGTAAGTGTTGCCATCATACTTCAATCCCTTCAAAAAGGCAGATTGCAAATGAGATGAAACTGTTGTGTTTGGTACCCCAAAACAAAAGATAGTCTTTTTTGATTCGTCATTTGAAGAAGCTTCTGCATCTATACAATCACTAGATGCAGCACGGGAGCCAACATTCAACCCAATCGACGCTGGCTCTGTTACAAAACTGCAGAGGTTACGAAATGAATTAGAACACACGTTTTGGATGGTTTTTCACAGAGATTTGTAATCAAACTAAACAGGTACAAAAGATAACAGATGAAGTCAGCTTTAAATGGTAAAAAGTATGGGTTGGGGTGTGTTGGTTTTGTTTCTGCCCGACCCAAAACCATCAAACCAACTTATGTCAGATTTGATTCAAAATCAAATTGCTGATTTTGGAGAAAAATGATCCAAAACAACTTAACAAGCAGAAACCATAGAAACACATTTTAATTTTGAAGTTGTTTAACACAGCTTTAACACAGAACATAAAAGTGCACAAGATTTAACAATGCTATAAGATACAGATATCACAAATAGAATGCAACATACACTTGTGAGACTTTTAGTGTTAAAAAATACGGAGTATGAAATATTTTTTGAGTAACTAAAAAACCATCATCCCTTCAAAAAGCCCATTCTTTTAATACAAAAAACCCAGTATCGCATGCTTTAGCAGTCAGCACAAATACACAGAAAAAAAACAAATAATGGTGGTGGTGGTAGTGGAGGTGAAAGGGCAAAGTTGTCCATTTCTTATACATGAAGTGGATTTAGCCAAATGAGGTGTAGATTTAGCACCACCCAAATAATAATATAAACAATTAAGGATAACAAGGAGTTGTTGACGTGGTTCAGGCATGCAACAGAACAGTGTACTCTCTTCAGCTAGCAGTTTGTCAATGGCCACTTCCTGCCAAGTCAAGGTTGCCTGGTTGGTCACTGTCTTACCGGGTGAGAGCAAGCATGTTAGGTATCATATGAAGCCCAGGGTTGTCTCTTTTGGAGAGGATAAGTTGAACTAGAAATGCATAAAAAAATTCCAGGTTTTTGCGCCATGGAGTTGGACATTATTTGTGGTTGCCTTGTTTACCGCCAAAGCTAAGTACGGAGAAGGCGAAAAAAAATGAAGTTGTGCAACTTGAGTCTCTTTGACTACATATTTAAAGGAAATTTAATTCAATGGACTGGCTTTAGGGTTGACCAATTTCAGACACAACCCAAACAATTTAGGCAATATGTGTTCTGATATTTTTACCTTCAAATAGAGGTCAAATTTGCAGTTACTGCACTTGTTTGTGATTTAGCATTGTTAGACAGGACCAACCAAATCAAAGCAAAGTAGAATATTTTATTGATGTAAAACTATACAAGATTATTTGTGTTCTCTAAATATAAATAGAGAACAGACCAACATGACTTTTACTAACCAACACAACTATTACAAACCAACACACCTATTAACAATAGAAACTACCCATAACTGCCTTTTACAAACTACCCACTGTTTTTAAATTAATTAAATATGTAAAACACACTAAATGACACCACACTAATTGACTCTATACTAACTGACCCGAACATTGACCCATTACCCATTCGGTTATATGTGAACAAACCCGATTATATCTAACAATCACGCCCCTAATCGTTGTTTGTTCACACTGATCTTCACTGCAATGTGTTCCTTTTGATCCCATTTTGGACATTCGTTCAAAAATGCCCTAACTCATTGCACTTGAAGCACCTAATGTGACTCTTTTTCCGCTGAAACTGTCCACCATCCCAACTTTTCCCGGACCCCCGACCTCTACCTCGGCCACGTCCAAAGTCTTATAGGTTTGAGCTCCAGCAACCACAATGCTCAGTTTTGTGCTCCTTAACCTTCTCTTTTCCATCACTTTTAGTGAATAGTAGTTTACCTTGCATATCTTCTTCCTCGGGTTAAGGTTGGCAAACTGTTAACCATTCTCCCTTGTAGTCACAATCTGTCTATTTTTGTTGTTCTCCCATTGCACGAATTTTATTCCTTCGACAATTTTCACAAAATTCTTAACTTCGAATCCTTCCCGGGTCGTAAGCCACCTGCAATCCACCATCAACCAGAAAACAAGCCCCTGCTTTTCCGTCTTCCAAGCCACTAAACGAAAGCTACCCCGCTGATTCGTTTTTCCCGCGCTGTTTGGATGGAATGCTTCTGCCAAAGGAAAAAACTAGCCCCCTGCTATTTTTGTCCTAGGCGAGGAAGAATCTTGTCGAAGATTCTTGATCTGTTGTCGAGGAAGTCTCTAACACTTTGTATTATGATCTGGCAGCCCTTCTACTCCCGATCATACAACTCTTGATCACAAGACAAACCGCTCCTTTTGATCGTTGGGTCCTTATTGGATTTTCGCTCTGATACCAATTGTTAGACAGGACCAACCAAATCAAAGCAAAGTAGAATATTTTATTGATGTAAAACTGTACAAGATTATTTGTGTTCTCTAAATATAAATAGAGAACAGACCAACATGACTTTTACTAACCAACACAACTATTACAAACCAACACACCTATTAACAATAGAAACTACCCATAACTGCCTTTTACAAACTACCCACTGTTTTTTAAATTACTCCCTCCGTCCGCCTAAGATGTTCTCATTTTGACTTTTGGTGGTTTTTAAGGAGAGTTGAAAAAAGGTGAAAGTTTACCATAATACCCTTAATGAAAAATGGGTGGAGTGTATTAAATGAGGTGGGTGAGGTGTAATAAATAAAGTAAGTGGGGGTAGTTGTGGTATTTTACTTGTTAAAAAATGAAATGAGAAGATCTATTGTGGACAAAGAAAAAGGGCTATTGGGAAGATCTATGGTGGACAGAGGGAGTAATTAAATATGTAAAACACACTAAATGACACCACACTAATTGACTCTATACTAACTGACCCGAACATTGACNACACAACTATTACAAACCAACACACCTATTAACAATAGAAACTACCCATAACTGCCTTTTACAAACTACCCACTGTTTTTTAAATTACTCCCTCCGTCCGCCTAAGATGTTCTCATTTTGACTTTTGGTGGTTTTTAAGGAGAGTTGAAAAAAGGTGAAAGTTTACCATAATACCCTTAATGAAAAATGGGTGGAGTGTATTAAATGAGGTGGGTGAGGTGTAATAAATAAAGTAAGTGGGGGTAGTTGTGGTATTTTACTTGTTAAAAAATGAAATGAGAAGATCTATTGTGGACAAAGAAAAAGGGCTATTGGGAAGATCTATGGTGGACAGAGGGAGTAATTAAATATGTAAAACACACTAAATGACACCACACTAATTGACTCTATACTAACTGACCCGAACATTGACCCATTACCCATTCGGTTATATGTGAACAAACCCGATTATATCTAACAAGCATCTCAAATCAATTTCCTTCCAAGTCAAGTCATTCCATTGATTTACTCAGAAATGGATCGATTTAAAAACTCTGATCCAAACCATTGATCAAGTTTAAGCAGAGCAAACCACATCTACAACTCATTTTTAACAGTTAGGGCCATCTTCTCAATTAGTTTGACAAACTAAAATTTATCCACTATTTTTCCATCATCTCCAATGGAGCCAATGATTCACTTTTCTTTTGGCTTTGGGGTATGATGAAATAAAGCAAAATGCCTTTTTAAACTGTATGCGCTTCTTTTAGGCTCTGTTCGTTTGGGTTGTAAAAACATAATTGGATGTTGAAAGATACTAGAAGAAGTTGGAAGAAACTGAAAGGAGTTGAAAAAAATTGGAAAGAGTAGGAAAATGTTGAAAAAAAAAAATGTTAGGAAAACACTCGATTCAATAATCACCCAAATAAATATGTAAGAAAACTAATTTTGGATAAAACAAGAATCCATATTTGTCTACGTTTGAGGTGGTATGTAGTACATTTAGATATATGACGTTATTGTATGTTCATCATATGTAAATACATTATTTTAATCGTTGGAAGAAACTAGTAGAAGTTGGAAGAAAATGGAAAGAATTGGAAGAACTCGAAGTTCGAAAAAGTTAGAAGTTAATTTTTCCAACCCAAATGAACAAACCCTTAGT